AATAGTATTGTGAAATCAGTATCGTGAATTGTATCGCATCGTGAGTTGAGTGAATCGTTAAATCCCTATATGCTAAGGCTGTGCAATTAATCGAAAAACAATTTTGATTTCGATTTTGGCCTCCAACGATTATGAAAATACAATAATCGAGATAAAACGATTATTCCGCCCCTTTTCCAGCACTGCGCTATCGTTCCTCCATAAAAGCCCAATTTCATGTGCAAATGAGTAAAATCATGTAACGTGACTTTTGCAAAATAGGACGTGCTTGATTTATATACTGTGTGCTTAATATTCATCAAACAACAAAAGACAAATTCAAAATCACACACTGCTCTTGTGTGAAGGACTTTTGTAGCTTTAATAAGAAACAAAAAAAGTATAATTCTTACAGTGAAAACTGTTGTTTTATTTTACATTTGATTATTCATTTCTGTAGTAGGCTGTAAACTGTTTCATTTGTGTCTTTTTATTCTATTGTATTTGTCCTTTGCTTTTTTATTACTGACAGTTTAATTATTTTCAATAATTTTTAGGACTTTTTGTTTGAAATCCCACTGGTCTCTACAATGTAGATGTCATAGCAACCTTATTTACAGGAATGTATCACTATCTTTAAATAAATCACTCCTATAAAGTTTTGGTCATATGGCCCCCTCATAATAGTGTTAAATAATCGTGATTACAACATTGGACAAAATAATCGTGATTATGATTTTTGCCATAATCGAGCAGCCCTTCTATATGCTACTAGTTTTTGCTGTGGTATCAAATAAGTATTCTGTTATTTAAATAATAAAGAATCATATTTTTTTGTCTCATCTGCAAAATGACCCGATCTGTTACTCAAAATCTGATATGATAATGCAATATGATCCGAGCCGTGGGTTTTGTGATCCGTTGCACCCCTACTCTCTTGAAAAAAAGCAATCACTGAAGTTTTTAATCATGCTGATTTGTCAGCCGATGTCTTTTTTTTTTATTCGGGCTACTTAAATTCATTTTGGGCTACCAAAATCTGAAGAATGTCTGCCCGAAGGTCTACCAGCGATTTTGAAATTTTACAAGCCCTTAAGGTCAATGCAAGCCATAAGTATTTTGTTAATGCTACTACACCAATTAGCTAAGTTCAACATGAATTAATGAAGAGCATTACACCTAATGTCTGTATCATATAGCATACATATCTTCTTGTAATCTTGTTACAAAAATATCACAACAAGTATATGCAGAGAGTAGGTGCTACACACAACCACCACAATACAGTACAATGTTAGGCTAATTTTCTCACATATAGCAATAACAGCATTTATCCTGGTTTCACCTAATATCTCATTGCGGATGAGCTAAAATCTTTTGGACTGGAGAAAAAGTTTCCAGAAAAAAAACAATTACCCCCTTTAAAAAAAAAAGTGTATAGAAACAGACAATTGCGAATCTACTAAATTGAACAATATTAGCTTAACACAGGGATAAACCCATCAGATATTCAACTATCCCTCTCCTGATGTATTTATCCGCATTACAAGAAATTACCACAAATACAGGGCCTGACAGTTAAGGTCCAAAATACACCTTGCTGCACAGCCTGTCGCTGTTTTACAGAGATTAATGTTTCCAGTAGGGCTGGTCCGAATACCATTTTTTGAGCTTCGAAGCTTCGGCAGTAATCAACAATGAATATTCGAAGCTTCGGAGGGAGGGGGCTGAACATATTCTCCGCTACAAAATACAATAGAACCTATTATGTTGTCTACACTGGATGCGGCACGGCGTGGGGCAACAAATTCCCGACAGTAAACTGCTGCTGCGTTCTATTTATGACGTACTGACACAAATTTCACATGATTTTCAACGGTCGCTTTGTACCAGTGTAGACAGACTTTAGCGGTGGCGCGACACGACAACTGTCGCATCCGGTGTAGACACGGTGTAATAAAGGCATGTGTAAAATTACTGATTAACATGGCGGATAAAAGCAGCTCGTTTTTTTTTACACCAACAATATACTATAGGCGTACTTACAGAACTCAGGTGATTTTTCAAACTTGATGTGCTGTTGTGGTAGGCCAGTTTCAAATTGCATATTTGGCAGACTGCCTTTGTCTTGTCCTCACTCAATTTAAAGTGCTCCCAGCCTCCCACACAGCTGAGGTCTTCGGCATTTTTGTCTTCTCTTCCAGATGAGATGAATCATGACGTTCGTTACTTTAACTCATGGGAGTTTCATATTCGGTTCGAAAAAAACAAAAAAAAAAAGAATATTCGAATCTCAAAATTGAAAATCGAATGCCAACCCACAGAACAAATATTCGAATAATTGAATATTCTGGCCCAGCCCTACTTTCCAGGAGCAGAAAGAAGTATTAAACCATGTACCCAGCCAAACACTGGACAAATTATTATCGATTAGGAAGCGAAACCAGAAATCACCTCAGCAGGGAAGAGCACAATGCCTATTTGATCACACTGACAATGCCAATAAAGAGTGTTTAATCAGGACTCCAGCAGGGAAGCTCAGCTCAAACAAAGAACGGATTAACTGTCCCACCACCTGCCTGTATAAGGGCTGGAAATACAATTAACCAAAGATGATGCCTCAACAACTGCAGTGGTGTGACAGATAGTTATCATACAAATGTGTACAGAGATACAGTAACAATAAAACTTTTTATGGCCTTAAGTTTGATACAACTCACTTTAGGAGTTTTTAAGGACCCGCGGGAGATCTGTATTTAAGATGTGGTGGTACATTTTGGTAGCCTGACTGGAAAACACAATAGCCCCGGGACGTCGGCGATTTTGCGAGCCCTGCTCATGTTTATTCAACGAAGTCAAATGCCACAAATAAATCGAAGTCAAACGCCACAAATAAATCAATGTATGGGAAACACTGGTAATGCATATCGAAATATCGGAAATGTGTTTAAAAATCATATCACCGTTATTGAAAAAAATTATATCGCGACACATATTGATATTGAATTATTGTCCAGCCCTAGTACAAACACACCTATTTTCTATGGATATTATGATATTACACTGATGATACATTTGTGGCCAACACAGATAAGCTGATACTTGTTTATTTTTTTTACATTATGCCAGAGAACCAATAAATGTCATAAAATTGCCTAAAATTCTACATTTTGCCAAAATAAACAAAAATAAAACACTAAAAACTATTTTAAATGATACACATAAGTTTTGGCACCCCAACAGTATAAATGATGAAAAATAGGTATTCATTTTGAAAATTGTTACATTTAATGTAGCAATTTTTATTCGTGACTAGTTAATAAATTTGAGTTTTTAAAGAAAGTAAGTGAATATTAAAGATATTCTACATTTAAAACTAGGATAATTGAGCATGCACAATTAAATATAAATCAATAATCGAAGTGATATGGTACTGATCAAATCATTGCTATATTTTTTATTCAAAACTATAGAATTTATTTATTTATTTTAAAAGTGGTTGTGTACAGTTTTAATCTTCATCATCAGTGATCATGGCTCCAGCAATTCATTAAATGAGGAGGCATTATCTGATTTGCATATTTCATATCAAGTGCTAAAACAATGACATCAGCCGGCACAATTCACTTTTGGTCCACTTGGTCTTAGTGAGGCAAAGCAGGAGATGCTTTGGCTACTTAGAAAGGAATCTTTCCTTCATCTCCCTGCAATGGATTGGACTCCCAAGTCGTTGGATTGGAGCTTTGCATGCCCCGACATGCCTAACGCCTCTACCACCACTTAGCCTTGGAAAGGTTAGGCCCCAGCCTGCATAAACTTGCACGCTTGTGTTCATTATCTTGAGGAGCTAACACAGCATTGATGAAAGGAATCCGCCAACGCACTTCAGGAATCCATAGCCTAATGATCCAGAACATGAAGCTCAAATGACAGTTCCTCTTCATAACTGACAAGAACCGCACTTGGTCTATCTAGGGTTAAGGAGGTTGTTCTGACATGTTTTCTGATAAAGAGGTTAAGCCGTCTTTTTGGCAGCAGTATGGAGATGCCTTACAGTGACAGATAATTCAATAAATCAATAGATCATGCTGCTGTTAAACCACTGATCAGTCCTGCTCACACTGGGACAGTTTACCATACGGCAAATGCAAGTATGTAGAAACAGCTAACACGCTATTTTCATATTTTCACGCTATATTCATTTTTTCTGTTTTCATGCCATTTTTTCATTTCTGGGAAATTGGATTTGCCAAATTCTGGCAATTGTACAAGCACGTTCACACCAACATGAATGTTCAGTACAAAAACTCGGCCCGGAAAAAATGACTGAAATGCAAATATCCTCTCTGGCAATAAGTGGCACTCAATAAAAATAAAAATAAAAACATGTGACCAACTGAGCAAATCTTATTGTTTGGCTTGCTTTTTTCTTTTTTTTTTTTACAGTGTGATGGAAAAAATTTGACAATGTAACCTCAGTGAGATCTTATAGTGATCACTGTAAGATCTCACCTCTCAATTACAGAGCTCTTACTGGTTTTTCATTAGATGTCAGGCTGTGACCCAAAATTTGCCAGAACTTTGTTTGAGGCTCAACATTATTGATTTTATCCTGATGGCCTTAGTTGCCAACAATTTTACTGGCTCCAGCAGAAAACAAAATATAATTTAATTTTAATCAATTTAAGTTATGTTTATAATAATTTTAAGTTACATATTTTCTTTCAGTTAATGATTATTTCATGCAAAACAATTTTTTATGGTTTTAGTTTTAGTTAATAATAACTCTGAATACAATACATTTTTAGTATGGTGGTTAAGACAGTTTCCTCAACCTACCGCTATGAACATTATGGCAAACAACATCCTTAACACATGATAAAATCACTGAATTCCCAAAACAGTTTTTCAAGACACTAAAATAATGAGGAAATAAAATGTGCATAGGCATTTATTCGTTTTAAACTTTGGAGTCAAAATTACTGAGCCGAGTTACTATCCAGAGTTACAAACACACTTACCCACAGCAGGTGCATCATACTCATCTCCCAGCAGGATCTCAGGGGCAGAATAAGCCAGCGAGCCACAGCTGGTGGTCAGCTTCTTTCCCGGCTGAAACTTATTACTGAAGCCAAAGTCGGTGAGCTTGACCAGGCCCTGTTTCTCAAAGAACACCACATTCTCCGGCTTCAGGTCACGGTGAACCACATGCAACCGGTGACAGTACGAGATGGCGTGCACGATCTGGGCGAAATATTTCTTGGCCAGCTCCTCGGTCAGTCCCTCCTCGTGCTTCATGATGTAATCAAACATGTCACCACCATCGCCAAGCTCCAAGATCAGATAGAGCTTTGTCTGCGTGTCGATGACCTCGTAGAGCCGAACGATGTTGGGATGCTGGACCAGTTTCATACAGCGGACCTCCTGGAACAGGTGACCGGTCGCGACCGTGTCGAGCTTGATCTTGTCAATTACCTTGACTGCCACTTTTTCGCCGGTGAAGACGTGACGCGCTAGTTTGACCACGGCGAAATGGCCACGGCCGAGCGTCTTGTCCAGGTCATATAGACCAGCGATCTTTCCATCGTACCCACGCTTGATTCCTGCCATGATTGCTGGTCCTCCGGTGGGATGGAGGGGGGAGTAGCCCCTGGGGGAGGGGTGGGGGTTAAACCAGAGGGAAAATCCAGCTCACTTCAGCACATTGGCTGGTAACGGCAATCCCATGATGGCAGGTTCCTGTTAATCAGAGATACACAAGTACAAAAATTATTCATAAGAACGCAAACAGTTGTAAATTGATAACAGGCACAATTATCGACAAACATATTAACCAATGTGTTTTACTCCAGTTTAAGAGCCAATTTTAACTCTTTATTCTAGTTGCAATAATAAAGGATTCAAATGTTTATATTGCCAAATAGCAGATTGCATTGAATATCAGAGTACTCCCATCATGCCAAGCCACAGAGTGCTTCCACTGCCACAAGCCTTCAACATGGACCATCATAGATTTGTATTGATTTCCTCTTGTTAGTGAAAAAATAAAAGCCACAAGTCTGGCAAGTAAGCTGGTGCTCCAGAGGAGAGGCTGCCTCCTAAAAGGGCTGATTCAATTTAAGTGGCATTAACTTCAGGCCAGTGCTGGAGATGACTGCCATGAAAGCTATATGATTTTCACATGTTCGTACCATCCTATTTATTCTCCATATCTCCAAAAATCATGTCACACTTTAGAAAAAGATGAAGTATAAAATGAACGAGATTACCTAAATACAAAATTATTATTATACAGCACTGCATTTAACATTTTCTGAAGGAAATTTGAGAGGTTCTTACATTCAAAATTGATGCCAGGTGTTTAGAGTGCTTTATAGCAAGTTGGTGTTACTAGTTTGTTGCTGGTCCATTCTGAATTATATATGAAATTCTGCATTCTAGTAGGGCTGGTCCGAATACCATTTTTTGAGCTTCGAATCTTCGGTAGTAATTAGGGCTGGGTATCGATTCAGATGTCCCGATTCGATTTGATATGCAAGCTCTCGATTCGATTCGATTCTCGATTTTTTTTATTACATTCAGTGAATATAGTTTTAATACAAATGCTATTGATATTTCTAAAAAATGAACAGTAAACATCAGTTTACAAATGGTGAATTAATAAAAAGAAATTAAGAACCACATGCCTGTATTTTAAACCTATTATTTTTTTTTGTATAGGGTCCTTTTTTAAACAATAATAGGGTCCTATAAAATGTTCTTAATTTTTCTGGTAATCAGATGAAGGCATAAAACATTAATTTAATTTATCCTAATCAAATGAAAATTAAACCCTTTTATTTTTTGGCAAACAAAGTGCTGCACAACAGAGGTTTACTGTTAAAATTAAAAAGAAAACAGATGTGATTATTCCTTTAAAAATAAAGATTTATTAATATT